GGCAGGTATAGTCAAATGGCAGAGAGTAGAATTAATTGGGAGAGTTGCTGAGATGTTTGAACCCTCATCCAAGGCAGATCTGTTATGTGAAGGTCAGAGTCCTAGTAGGAAAAACTAGGAGTTCAGAGAAGTGGGAGAGGGCTTTCTGGGTGTTCCTGAGGATATTGACTCTACAACCCTTCTGAACCCTCTAGATGTGTAGAGGTGGCCTCCCTTCCCTTCTGTAGAAAGAGCTGGCACTTCAGCTGTGCTGGAAGATGCTGCAGAAGCCTCTCCCCACAGGGCAATTGGTGCCTTGGTCAGATTCAGCCCTCACTGCCTCTCTTGGCTGCCAGACCAATAACTACAGATTGTATTTTTAAGAGTGCTTGGTCAATGGACCAGAATGAAAACCTGAATAAGCAAGAATTTATTAACTTGGGGGCACTTTCTTGGGAAATAAGGATTAACACCCTAGCAAAGACTCTAGACATGGGGCATGTGTGCTACTGTGGTGACTTTTAGAGACCTAGAAAAACAATGGGCAACTCTCAGTAAGTTAGAAATGCCTGAGTTGGCCTGGAAGATGGTGGATGAAGGGAAAAAGTATGCTTGAGAGAAGTGGGCACGTTGGAGTGGATATATTATGAAAAACCACAAAACCCACCATGAGATTATGTCCCATGAGAGAGCCAAGAGACGACATGAAAGCCACCAGGAATGTGCTGGAGAGCAATGTAGACTGGCGACGATGACCGTAATCAGCCTCCATTTCAAGGTAGTAGGAGAATGAATATGGTTGGTTGGGCACCTGGGTTCTAGCCCTCATTCTAAAATAATTGGGTGATTCAGGAAATATATGAAAGAATATCTAGGCAAATCACTTCAAAAATGTCATTTCTGAGAAGAGAAGTCTTTATGGCTTCCTCAGTCCATCAAAGTCTATGCCTTACTGCCCTCAGCTCTTCACACATTTTTTTTTTCAAATTGACTTATTTTCCCCAAATGTCTGAAGAGGTAGATAATATTATTCACTTTTTAGAGATTAGGAAACAGAAGCTAAGAGAGTCTAGATGACTTACCATGTTTTAAAGTTGACAAGAGAGAGAATAACTTAGTATTGCAAACTATGAAGCCAAGTGGCCTATGTTTGAATCATGGCTCTGTAATTTACTAACTCTATGACCTTGGGCAGTGACCTAAGTCTTGAGACTCAGTTACTTTAACTGCAAAATGTGGTTAAGGCTAACATTTGAATTATGGATTATTTGGAACCTTACCTGTGAAAATCCAGGTAAAATGCATTAATACTCCTCTGCATGTAGCATGTATTTAGTAAGTATTAACTCATAATAAAATACATTTCTTTTGCTGTTAGTGGTGGACTTGTCACTTACATCTCAGACATATATCATTTGCCTATCTGGTCTTTCAGACCTCGTTTTTATTTTGGAATTCTAGTTCACTGGAAGATATGACAAACTATAACTGTTTGTTTTTATTTTTAAGGAACAAATTAGTATACAAGTATGAGGAATTTTATCACTTTCTATCCATTTCCAATATCAAAATTGACAAATCGATGCAGCCCAAATTTGAAAATGTGCAGAAAGGAAGATTAGATCACTAGATCTAGACCACTAGATCACTTCATTTATTTTCTCTTTCAAAAATATATTTTTTAAAACAGCAGGATAAAAAAGGAAAATCATGTTCGAGAAAGGGCTGTTACCCTACTACATTTACTCAGTGATTGATTGCATTTTCTCCCAGGACTTGAAGAATAGAAGAGAACATGAGGGTTGATTGCATCAAAAGTGTGACACGAAGAAAGGAATCAAGAAATCACATATATGTCTGCACAGAAGTCAACTAATAAATCAAAAGCATGTTCTTAGCTAAGTCAGATGTTTCTTTGAAACAGCATATGGTGCAATTCTAACATACTCTATATTCAGCTACCTAATAGGCTGTTGCTTTCAACTAGTGAAAAATCTAGCAGCACAAATGTTTGTAAGGCTGGTAAAACATTTTAACTTTATTTTATGCCCTGATTAGCTTTTTTTTATTTTTGTATTTTATTTTATTTATTTATACAGCAGGTTCTTATCTGATTAGCTATTACTGGCCTGATGATTACGTTATAAAACCTAAAATCATAAATGGAGAAAATAACCTGTTGGCAAGAGTGAACCCTACTTGTTACAACATCCTATATTATGTGTTCATAGTTTCTTTTTAGCAGTTACTTTGATATAAAATTTAACAAGTTTTCTTTCATCCCATATTAAGTCTGTATTTTTTTAAAAATTGTGGATTTAAATTTCTGCATCACTTTTAGAATTGAGAGTCATAAAATTAACATATGTCATAATCATTTTAACCAAATCAAATCCTCATGAGAGTATCATGTCCTAATCAGGAAAGAATAAAGATTATAACCTTTAAAAATGTTAAGATGACTGTATCTTACTACAAAAAAGTAAGTCAATCCCATTATAATTGAAGAAAACTAGTTCACATGGATTTTTAAACTTTCAATACTAAAAAGTCCCTGACTGTGTGAAGGTTGCTGTGGGTGTATATAACTTTGTAGCAAAGGAGAAACTTGTTAGACTATAATTAATTGACAAGTGTAGGAGGAATTTGTCTCAGTCGATCATTATTCTATTTTTCACAATTATATTTAATTGCCATTGTATTGTAATGTCAATGTTAGTCAATGTCAAATCTGAAAGCTATATTCTATCCCCATCCATCCCTTGACCAAAAAATGCAACCACGCATGTTTGTTGGTTACCGATACCAAGGAAAGCCAGTCTTCCACAGGAAATTATCAAGCACTGTATTTTATCATACTTAAAAGGAAAGGAGGGCCAGAGGATATTAGTGAAAAATTGGGGAGTAGAAAACTGAAAAAGAAGTCACTGGTTTAATTTTCTAACCAGTAATCAGCAAGTTATTCTGAATGAAAACCAAAGTCTCTCATTTCCAGTGACCACACTCGGCAGCATCCAGGGAGTTCATGAGAAGGAATAGTGGACTCCTTCATACATGTGGAGATACTTAAGTGCTCGGAGAGGGCCCTGGAGCTACTTTGCCAGGATTCTGAAATCCAGGTTCTCTTGCTTATTTATTCCTTTCATTAAGTCTACTCATTATTTTCCAAGGCCACTAATTCTGTATGTAGTGTCTGTTCACAGCACTTAATATTTCATAAGAGCCTGGTGCTATCAGTAACAGCCAAACAAATAATGGAAAAGCTATGCTACAAAGCCAAGTGGTCAAATGTGAGGGAAATAGCTATATGGTGCAGAAGTACAGTGGCTGTTTCAGTTGTGTGATTTTTTCCCCATCTGGCTCCCAAGTAAAATAATTGAAGAAAATAAAAAAGGAAATGGCACTAGTGAAATGTTCTCTCCCTGATAGACACTTGGCACACACACTGTCTTCATCATTTTTCCACTGGTCCAGGCCCAAGACCAATTCTGTTCATAGCTGAGAAATATTAACGAGCCTTGAGACAGTAACTTGCTGACTCAGTGTCAAGCCATCCCATATGGAAGACCTTGCCCCTTGCTTGTGCCCCAGTTGCAATAAGGGGTGTTGTCAAGCCTTTGAACAAAAATGTGACCTTTCCCTGTCTCCTTCCTGCTTAATTTCTCTATGACTTGTTCTTCTCCCTGAATCTTGCCCAATTCTACCTAATACCAGACTTCTGGATGCCTTTGCATCCTTTCCCATTTGCTTACTTATTCAGACTTCTTATTGCCTGCATGTGCTTCCCACTAATAATTATGTCCCACCTTTAGCTGCTGGGATCTTCCTGCCTTGAATTGCCTGATTGCTTAGATTTCTCTATTTGCCATAATTCCCTAACATGCCAAGTGTGGAATCAGAATTATTCCCTTTTCATACTTTGGGATCTATCTTTAGTTGCCTCCTCTTTTCATTCAGGTTTTTTCAGCCTGGTTTTACTGTCTGATGTTCCCTGTGTGCTCTGGTTCTTTGATTATGGGAAAGAGGAAGAAAAATGTGGGCAGAGGGCCTGGAAACATGGCAGCAGTGAGAAATCTGAACTTCAGAGTTGTCTCTGCTTTGGAGCTGTCCTGGATAGATTCTTCCATCCTTTGTTGCTTTCTAACTGTAAGGAGAAGGGATTTGTGAAGTCTTGATTAATTTGAAGCTAGTGTGTGTGACAGCTCACAGATAGTGATTTCGACAGCTATTTTGAGTCTATCCACATGTCAGTAGCTGTAATTGCAAGCTTCTTTTCTTGTTAATTCCTGGAGTTGCCTCTCTCCTTCCCCTGCTGTGAAATTTTGTCCCTTTCCAAAACAGAACACATTTTTTTTTTCCTGATGCTGAGAGCACACTCATTAATTTCTCACTTAGTGATGATTCATTAATCATGGAAGGGCATGTGAGCTGCAGTTAAAGCAACTCCTTCAATTTAATTTAACAAACATTTAGAGAGTTTAATGCGCAGAGCGAAGCGCTAAGCACAAGACCCAAAGAGACCCAGTTTGGATGATATGTAAATTATTTTTTTCATCAGGATAAGTGTTTAATAAACTTTTCTGAATCAAATCTAATTGGTATGGACTTTATTGTGGTTTTATGTTTAGATAAAAGTTTTAACATAAACTTTAGTTATAAACATAAAGAAATGTACTTGGATTGTTTCTATAGAGAATCAATACGTTTTATTTAGATAACTTACCTACAGTTCATATTTTCATGAAAACAGTGCCAAGTCAAAAATTAAACCCTGCAAAATACCACAGCTTACACTTTCCTTTTGTACACCCTTTCTTCTCTGTTGATACCATTATGTAGGAGTAATACAGAGATAGAATCGGGAAATGGTTAGAAAAGGAGAGATCTTTGAGCAAAATTAGGGTGTTTTGGGAAATAGTCATTTTAACTTAATTATATCTTATATAATTTAATTATATTGTAGAATCAGGAATGATTGACAGATAAGACCTAAGGTCAAGTTCATTTCCATCATTTTACAGGTAAGGAGTCTCAGACCAAGGGAGAAGACATGATTTGCCCAAGATTGCCCAACTAGTTGGAATTAGAAACCAGCTCTTTGGATCCAAGTCTGGAGTATTAGTGATGACTCTCTGAATGGTGAGAACCAAAAAACAATTCTAACTGACTTGGAAAGTTGTTGGTCATGCCTTTGAGAAGTGAATGGATTGCACTTATGGCTTGATCTAAGGGTCCCAACTGTCTTAGTTTCATTCAATTCTCTTTCCACTTTCTCCATCTCCAGAATCAGCTTCCATCTTTGGTGGCCTCAGTTCCTCCTAGTGGTGACAGGCTTTATCCATGCTGCTGGTAAAGATGTTCTTAAGTAGCCACAGAATCACGAGTTCCTTGCTTACTGACTTAATGGAAAACATGAAATGAAACTCATTCCTATCATTTGAACATCAGTCAGGATGCTGATTGCCTCTGCTTGGATCACATGGGCACCACCATGAAAGTCACCAATGCCCAAAACGTGAGGGATCATGATTGGCCAGACATGGCTCACATGTCCACTCTCTTTGTCCAGAGAAACCCATCTGCTACTAAGGGCAATGTTGGGAGAATGTACTGGACAGACAAAAATGATGGCTTCATAGCTCACTGCATTAGAAAAAAATCTTAGAAGATTTAAAATGACAAGTAAATAAAAGAAAACAGATATTGTTGAAACCTAATTTTATACTTTTGGAATATTGAAAAAAAGTTGGAGATATTGATTAAGCTATTGTTTGCTCTATTAGGTCTTATTGCAAATAATGAATAATTGTTATCAGCATAGTTCACTCTCCTTTTTCCATAAGCCTCCCTCATGCCCACCATGATCCAAACCTATCCACTAATAATTAGCAAACCTCACCTTTACATTCTCTCTTTATCCCTCTTATTTTCAACTGTAAAACTCCAGGTAAGCATCAGAGAAAATTCTTATTAAAAAAACATTTAGGGGTTCTTATTGTTCATATTCTTTCAATTCTTTGATATTGCTTATGTTTATTACATTATACTAATGAGTTAATGAAGAATGAGTAATTTGCTTAGAACATTGCTACACACAGAGAAAGTGCTATAAGTTTTTTTTTTTTAGACAAATTAAAGCTTTTTGAAAGTTTATCCTTCTGAATATAATTATTTCTGTGCCTGTGCATTATCAAATTCAGTCCTTGTAGTTCAGTGTGTTCAGACTCATACAACACACATATTCATTGAACACTTAGGAAGTTCTTTCTAGAATGAGTTAGCCAATAAATGAGTATATATAAACATAAACCCATACACACATTCATAAACAAATACCTGACTTTGGGGCAAAGGGAGTTAACAACACTCAATCACTTCTAGACTTTACTGTTAATCTGTAATTCTGTCTCTGTGAGGTAGATGTTATTCGTATCTAAATGATTAAGTAATTAGCCCACTATTATATTAAGAGTACCAGATTTGTCAGCTCGTATGGGGTTTAGTTCCAGCTCTGCTTCTTACTAGTTTACTTACCTTTGCTAAGTCTTAGTTTCCTCATCAGAAAGATGATAATAATAGGATCTAAACGTGCTTGGCAAATAACAAACAATTGGGTTTGTCTGATTCAAGTTTTTCTGAGGAAACGTTAAAGAATTTAGTAAATAATTTCTGTGTTAAAAATCAAAAGAAACATAGATAAACTATGGCTTCCCAGTTCCCTTTTACCTCGGTTCCTCCCATTAAGTTGGGTGTTCTAAACTAGATCTTAGACTTTCATTCAATTCCTTGAGCTCCTTATTTCCAGTTACTTTCACTCCTGCTTCTTCTTGGTCATCCCACGCCACAGAAATTCTCTGAGCCTGGAAGAATTTTGAATTCCTCTACCTCTGAAAGACTACCTAATAATATCTCATTCTCACCACTGTCTCTCAGTTTACTAACTCACTCATTGAAAACTCCGGGCCTAGAAATCTCTTCACTCTCCCTATTAGTTTCCTTCTCTACCACCTATGCTTTAGGCTTATTTTCTCTGAGAGTAGACACCGTCAATATCCCCAATTCTCTTCTCCTATTATCTGTTACTCTCTGTGCGCAGTGACCTTCAATCTCTCTCCGTCTCCCCAAACTCTATGCTCCAGCAGAACTGAAAGTACTGGAAGTTCCTTGAATGTGCCCTGCTGTTATGGGTTTTTGTTCCTTTGCTTGTGCCACTCTCTACTTGAAATACCTGTCATACAAAGATACATTTAATTTTAAAGTCTTTCTGGGAAAAATCTCTATGAAGACTTTCATGATCACCCGTCTAGGTTAAATCTATTACTCACCCATTTGGTGCCCCACAGTGTTCTGTATCCATTACAGCAAGGCACATGTTCTATTCATTTCCACTTATTTGATTTTTATATCCACCTTCCATGACTGCTTAATTTCTGTATGCTCAGCATCAGTGTAGTGCCTCACATGTAGTAGGCTATTAATAAGCATTTATTGGATGAATTTATTAAATGACTTAAGCAAGGGGAAATACTGTCTCCCTGGAAAAATTAAAGTTTTTATTTTTCCAATACCAAGGCACATACAACTCTACCCACCTTTCTCTGCAGCTACTTGGAAGTACAGGGTCAAGCGTGAGAAATTATCAGCTTTGTTAACTTTCATTTTTGGAGGATTTGAATTCTTTCTTTTACTTTATGTAGAGTTTCACATTCATAACTTTAGATTATGTGATCTAAAAAAGTAAGGTGTGTGTGTATGTGTGTGTGTGTAGAAAGATAAGTAAGTATTGATAATTTCAACAAGTACTATTTCAGAAAATAACAATATCTTTCTTGACACGTTTTGATACTTATAGGTGTACCAGATTATCAGTTTTTCAACATGTTGTAAAATAAGTAAGTTGAACATTTCACATGAAGAAAATTTTCACATGAAGAAAATTGTATTCCAGCACTGAGGGTAAATCTCTCCCTTTTTGAAATTTATAATTATAGTCAGTGCATAGAAAGGTAAATATCTTGAATAAATCTAACATTTAAATCTGTAAATTTTAAATAATTTTCTTGACACAAACATTTTCTATGGCTCCTGAAAATACTTAGTCAAACATTTAGAACAAATACATAAATGGTATTGTGCTAAACACTGAAGTCTAAGGTCTGTGGTCTAGATTTTTGAGAAACTTAGGGAAAAACATTGAGATATACAAATTCATTATCATATAGAAGAAGAATAACTAGAAAAATACAAGCCAAACCACTTACGTAAGTCCTCAAGTTTGGTAAATTGATTTTCACACCAAAGACTTAGCTAATTATGTCAAATATTGGAATGTGTTTCAAAGTTTTATAAACAATAATGAAACAGATAAATGGTATAATCTATTATAATAAAGATATGTATCGTTGTGGTAGAATTTGCAATCAGTATCTTTAATAACATGTGCACATGTTAACTTGGGGGAACTCTTGGAATGAGTGAATTCATGGTTTATTATACAATTGATTTATCAAACAGAACATAATTCATACTTATTGTTATGTTTTGTATAATTATCAGAGATCTGCTGGTATATGTTTAGTAACTATTCTTTGGGGGGAAAAAAAGTCCTGATTTGCAATGTTTGCCTATTGCCGTGGTGTAAATTCTCCTACCACAGGCAATTTAAAGCTACCAACGTGAGGTTACCTAACACAGTTAGGAAGAAAAGCACACATTTGGCTCTTGTGAACTCTACAAGCCAGCTCTATCTAGCACACCACTGCCAAACTCTTATGCTTCTGTAGATTTTCAGTAGAAGCTCACTGTTTTGATGCAGCTACATCTTTAATTAAATGATAAAAGAAGCCATACATGTGAGGCAGATTACTTCGAAGAGCTGTACTCAAGGATTCCTTTTATTTCTCTGAATTCCCTCAAACAATTAAAGGCAACGGAGTTCAAGTTGTGCTTTTGTTTATTTCTAATTAAGCCTGGGATGATAATTTTCTAAGAATTGTATTGAAATTTTCAAATCCAGGAAAGCTTTACCCATCCATTCTGTTATCTGGGCTGCTTGAACATTGCTCTTAAATTGGGGCCCATAGGTCTCAGAAAATGAGAAAATATCAGCTTCCCAGCAGGTTCTGTTTGAATGTACATCTATAATTGATGAGATGTATTCACATATTAGCGTTTGCTTTTTTTTCTTCAGCTTTTGAAACTTTTCCAGATGCCATTATGGGTTAGTTCCTAAAGATTAGGTCTCTGAATAGATGCACAAAGGCTTTGCTTAGAAAGGATATGACATTTCTTCATCTGTAAGTTGGAGACAGCACTATATTATGGAGGAAAACAACTTAGATTTTTATGGTCACTGTCTATTGTATAGAAAATACCCCTGCTTAAATAAGCAATATTTTAGGTAATATAAGTAAAACTCGTGCAAGGTCACTAGTTACTGAAACTAAAGCTTGTTTGAAGGTTTGTTTTTAATATTCAGATGGTTGCAGCTTTATCTTTTACATATATTTAGTGTCTTTGGGATTTTTTAGAGTGATGTACAAGCAAAGGTATGAGCATGAAAAATGTTTGAATCAAATAAAACCAAATGTCTTTCTGAGCATTGAAGTTTATACATTTTTATTGTATTTTTTAAAATTAATTAATTAATTTATTTTTAGCTGCATTGGGTCTTCGTTGCTGCGCGTGGGCTTTCTCCAGTTGCTGTGAGCAGGGGCTACTCATTGCGGTGGCTTCTCTTGTTGCAGAGCACGGGCTCTAGGCACGCAGGCTCAGTAGTTGTGGCTTGCTGGCTCTAGAGTGCAGGCTCAGTAGTTGTGGCTCATGGGCTTAGTTTCTCCGCAGCATGTGGTATCTTCCCAGACCAGGGCTTGAACCTGTGCCCCCTGCATTGGCAGGCGGATTCCCAACCACTGCACCACCAGGGAAGTCCCTTTATTGTACTTTTATGAGTTTTCTAGAGGGGATTGTCTTCCAGAACACCCTAGTTTCATCAATCCTGAAAATATTTCTGCAATAATAACCTTACTCTTCAGGTTTCTTTAGACCTGTTTCCCGAATTGTGTACCAGAGCACACAAGTACCTTGATGGTCCTTGAAAGAAAAGGGGAGATTATACAGCCAAGTATGAAACTGGTTATATACACTGGCCCCTATTAAAGAGTCAAGATGCACATAAGAATATTAAAGACTCTGAGAAGTCCTGCAGAAAAAGAAATTGTTAATATTTGCTTTAAAGCTTCTCCCAGTAATATTGACCCAGGACCATCTTTTTATGTTATCCTATTAACATCCATAAAGCATACTTTTAGGAATATCTTCTTTACAAAATCTTATAGAAAAAATATTGAACTTATCCTTTTCTTGTCAATATTATATGACACACAGCTAACTTAAAATTCAGAAACAAGTTTCTAAGTTTTCTAAAAATTGAAAATAACAAAAATTGACTCAAGAGATATAGATATACTAAACAAAACAATGATCATGGAAGGAACTCATTACATTGTTAAATTAGGGTCTTGGCTATAAAAATACCAAAGAATTTCATGGATGAATGTTTTCAAACCTTCTAAGAACAGGTAATTCCTACGCAATTTAAATTGTTTCAGGCATAGAAAATAAAGCATTCCAATTCGTAAAAGAAAACCCAAACTACTATGACACTGACTCCAAAATCTGACAAAGACACCACAGAAAAGACAATGATAAATCATCTCACTTATGAATATTAATGAAAGACAGTAAATAAAATCCAGAGAACAAAATGCAGCACTACATTAAAAGAATAATATGTCATGATCAAGTGGGGTTTATTTCAGGAATGCAAGACTGTTTAGCAATATGAAATCTCCTAGTACAATTGACTACAGGTCAAAGAAGAAAAACCCTTCATAAAATAGGAAGAGAAGCATACTTGTTTAAATAAAATGATAAGCATATCTCAAACCAGTTTCTAGCATTGTTCTTAGTGATGAAACACGTGTAAGCACACCCCCTGAAGTCAGAAATAAGTCAGGTGTGTGTTGTTTTCCTATTATTATTTACTATTTTTCTGGAAATATTATAGACAGTGAAATTAGACAAAGGGGTGAAATAATGATGATAAACATCGGAAAAGAAGGGGCAAGATTATCACTATTTAAAGATAATATGATTATATATTTGAAAAACTCAGAGAATCAATAAGAAAAAGTACTATTAGAAAGAATAGAGGAATCCAATAATGTGGTCACAAAATATATACAATGGCTTTGATAAAAAAATAAATGGGAAAATGATATAGGGAAAATATTCCAATTATAATTCCAACAATAAAAAAGTAGTAACAAGCCAAATACCTCAGAATAAGTGTAACAAGAAATATATAGTTGCTAAATGAAGAATGAGATTTGAATAAATGGATACATACACCTTTTTTTCTGGATAACAATATGCAATATTAAAACTATGAAAAAAATCTAATTCACATATATAGCCATTGTAATTCTAATTAAAATCCCAGCAGAGTAACTCTGAAATTCACCTAGAATAATAAATATGTAAGAATAGGCAATATATTTCAGTATTTTTCAAGTTTCTACCATGAATAATATGATGTAAAATAACATTAGCCAAGTAACAGAATATTCCTAAGATCTCACTGGCTTAATATAATAGAAATGTATATGTTGTTGAAGTCACAGTTGGTGAGGGTTTGCCTTGCTAGAGGTGCCTCTTTGTGATTGTTCAAGGATCCAGGCTTTTGTTATCTTGTGGCTCCACCTTTGTTTAAGTCCTCCGAGTTCTACCCGTTAGAGTTTCTTCTTAATGTCTTTGCCCATAAACACATATCACTCCCAGGCCAGATCTTAGACACACAGTCTTAACCTTTTGTGGAGCTAGGAAATTAGATCTAGCTGTGTATACTGGAAGATAATAAAACGTATTTTGACAAAACAGAGCAATCTGGCAACACTTTTATAATCAGAAACCAAAAAGCAGATTCTAAAATACATAATATGCATCAACTGTATCTGTCTTAAATATCAACAATCCAATTAACTAAGGGTATCAGTTCTTTTTAAAATACAGACTTCCCCTCTTAGGTTGAATAATACTATCTTACAAAGAGAAACCAATTGTTTGTAGCCTTATGGTGTGTAGAAACATGCCTTAGCATTTGTGCACAGCTGGTCTAATTGGAGGAGCTAAGTGGGTAGATTTTCTAGTAGTTCTCAGTGCTTTCAAACTTCGCTGAAATTTGTGTGGCCTTGGTGCTTTCTCCTACATCTGGAACATAGAATGAACAAAGCACATGGAACTCAATCTGGCAAATGTGTTGTACTGATGACATCTTGAGAACATGGGTGTCTTTCAACAATTATTACGGTCTGTGAACACAGATTTTATGTTGTATGAGCTATGAGCTTGGGAAATTATACGAGGATGTTTCCTAAACATATATTCTAAGTGTAGCCACTTCATAGTATTTTTGTGAGAATCAATTGCAATCATGTGTGCAAAATTACTGTTTTGCATAAGAAATGTACAATTTGGCAGATCTTTTAGATCTTTATTCTTTCCTCAAGTATAAATTGAGCACTTAGAGCACCAGACACTGTTCAAGGCACTGGGCTTGGTGCCATGCATGAAAAGGGACACACTTCCTGCTTTCAAAGAGCTTCCGGTTGGGGGTGCATGGCATACAGGGGACATAAGTGAATATATAAACAAGTAGAAAAGATAATTTGATAAATATTATGAGTGACATTAAACAGCCTAATGCTCTAGAGACTGGAGGGCAGCAGGGGCTGACTATAGAGCTAGGTAGGCGTGGTATGTTCCAGAAGGCAGAGCTTGTGATGACACCTGTATCATGAGAGGTGCAAGTTTAACAAAAACTCTCAATAAATATTTGCTGAATGAATGAGTTTACTTATTTATTTTTGATTCACCTTTAAATTCATTTTACATTATGAAGTAAAAGGTAAAAGGTTTTCAACAGCTGAAATAACTGTAAATAAGCATACAAATGATTTTCCTGATCTAAATGAAGTTATATGTTTGGACATCAGGCAGAATGACAGCTCAATCTGTCAGCTTTTTAAATGAACTAGAACTTTTGAAAAGAAATATAATTTTATAATGAATGCAGCACTTAAAATTAGCCACAAATGTAAATGTTATGGCTTCTACTTCTGGCTACTCTCCCTGGGTCTCTGCTTTTGTGCTCACCCTGCTCTCTTCCTTTACAACACTGTTAGTGTCATCATTCTTGGTGACTTTATCCATGTAGCTCCTCCATCCTAGCAATTAAACAACTATACCTGTTTTCTCATCTATAAATTTGGACTCATAATTCCTTCCTAGTCACTCAGAGGACTGATGTAAGAATCAATTGTCATGATTTATGTGAAAATACTAAGTTATATAGCATTATTTTATATTTTTCTAGGCTTGTAGACCATTCTAATGCACCAATGCTGTAATTTATTAAATGAGTATGTTGCTGACTTTCTCCACAATTTCCTTCATAGGAAAAGAAAAACGTACTTCTGGTTAATTAAATGCATATCTAAACTTTAAATAAAAACCATTTCCTACACTGGGCTTCAAGATGGGGGAGTAGTAAGACGTGGAGATCACCTTCCTCCCCACAAATACGTCAGAAATACATCTACATGTGGAACAACTCCTACAGAACACCTACTGAATGCTGGCAGAAGACCTCAGACTTCCCAAAAAATATATACTTTTTTTTTTCCTTTTTCTCTTTTTGTGAGTGAGTATGTGTATGCTTCTTTGTGTGGTTTTGTCTGTATAGCTTTGCTTTTACTCTTTGTCCTAGGGTTCTCTCTGTCCCTTTTTTTTTTTTTTTTTTGTTTTGTTTTTTTTTTAGTATAGTTGTTAATGCTTGTTAGCATTGGTGGATTTCTTTTTTGATTTGGTTGCTCTCTTATTTCCTTTTTTTCTTTTTAATTTTTTTTATTTTTTAATATTTTTTATTTTAATAACTATTTTATTTTCTTTCTCTCTTTCTTTCTCTCTCTCTTTCCTTCTTTCCTTCCTTCCTTCCCTTCCTTCCTTCCTTCCTTCCTTTCTTTCTTTCTTTCTTTCTCTCTCTCTTTCTTTCTTTCTTTCTTTCTCCCTTTTCTTCTGAGCCGTGTGGCTGACAGGGTCATGGTGCTCCATCCAGGTGTCAGGCCACTGCCTTGGAGGTGGGAGAGCCGAGTTCAGGACATTGGTCCACCAGAGACCTCCCAGCTCCACATAATATCAAACAGCGAAAGCTCTCCCAGAGATCTCCATCTCAATGCTAAGACTCAGCTCCACTCAATGACCAGCAAGCTACAGTGCTGGAAACCCTATGCCAAACAAATAGCAAGATAGCAACACAAACCCACCCATTAGCAGAGTGGCTGCCTAAAATCATAAGGTCACAGACACCACAAAACAACCACCAGATGTGGTCCTGTCCACCAGAAAAATAAGATCGAGCTTCATGCACCAGAACACAGGCACTATTCCCCTCCACCAGGAAGCCTACACAATGTGCTGAACCAACCTTAGCCATTGGGGGTAGACACCAAAAACAATGGGAACTACAAACCTGCAGCCTGCGAAAAGGAGACCCCAAACACAGTAAGTGAAGCAAAATCAGAAGACAGAGAAACACACAGCACATGAAGGAGCAAGGTAAAAACCCGCCAGACCAAACAAATGAAGAGGAAATAGGCAGTCTACCTGAAAAAGAATTCAGAATAATGATAGTAAAGATGATCCAAAATCTTGGAAATAGAATGGAGAAAATACAAGAAACCTTTAACAAGGACCTAGAAGAACTAAAGAGCAAACAAACAATGATGAACAACACAATAAATGAATTTTAAAATTCTCCGGAAGGAATCAGTAGTAGAATAACTGAGGCAGAAGAACGGATAAGTGACCTGGAAGATAAAATAGTGGAAATAACTACAGCAGAGTAAAATAAAGAAAAAAGAATGAAAAGAATCGAGGGCAGTCTTAGAGACCTCTGGGACAACATTAAATGCACTAACATTCAAATTATAGGGCTCCTAGAAGAAGAAGAGAAAAAGAAAGAGACTGAGAAAATATCTGAAGAGATTATAATTGAAAACTTCCCTAATATGGGAAAGGAAATAGTCAATCAACTCCAGGAAGTGCAGAGAGTCCCAAACAGGATAAATCCAAAGAGAAATATGCCAAAACACATATTAATCAAATATCAAAAATTAAATACAAAGAAAAAATAGTAAAAGCAGCACGGGAAAAACAACAAATAACATACAAGGGAATTCCTGTAAGGTTAACAGCTGATCTTTCAGCAGAAACTCTGCAAGCCAGAAGAGAGTGGCAGGACATATCTAAAGTGATGAAAGGGAAAACCTACAACCAAGATTACCTTACCTGGCAAGGATCTCATTCAGATTCGATGGAGAAATTAAAACCTTTACAGACAAGCAAAAGCTAGGAGAATTCAGCACCACCAAACCAGCTTTACAACAAATGCTAAAGGAACTTCTCTAGGGAGGAAACACAAGAGAAGGGAAAGACCTACAATAACAAACCCAAAACAATTAAGAAAATGGTAATAGGAACTTACATATTGATAATTATCTTATATGTAAATGGATTTAAATGCTCCAACCAAAAGACATAGACTGGCTGAATGGATACAAAAATAAGACCCATATGTATGCTGTCTACAAGAGACCCACTTCAGACCTAGGGACACATACAGACTGAAAGTGAGGGGATGAAAAAAAATATTCCATGCAAATGGAAATCAAAAGAAAGCTGGCTTAGCAATTCTTATATCAGACAAAATAGACGTTAAAATAAAGACTATTACAAGAGACAAAGAAAGACCCTACATAATAATCAAGGGATCCATCCAAGAAAAAGATATAACAATAATAAATATTTATGCACCTAACATAGGAGCACCTCAGTACATAAGGCAAATGCTAACAGCCATAAAAGGGGAAATCAACAATAACACAATAATAGTAGGGGACTTTAACACCCCACTTTCACCAAGGGACAGATCATCCAAAATGAAAATTAATAGGAGACATGAGCTTTAAATGACACATTAAACAAGATGTACTGAATTGATATTTATAGGACATTCAATCCAAAAACAACAGAATATACTATCCTATCAAGTGCTCATGGAACATTCTCCAGGATAGATCATATCTTGGGTCACAAATAAGCCTTATAAATTTAAGAAAATTGAAATTGTATCAAGTATCTTTTCCAACCACAATGCTATGAGACTAGATTAATTAATTCCAGGAAAAATTCTGTAAAAAATACAAGCACATGGAGGCTAAACAATGCAATAATTAATAACCAAGAGATCACTGAAGAAATCAAAGAGGAAATAAAAAAATCCCTAGAAACAAATGACAATGAAAACATGACAACCCAAAACCTATGGGATGCAAGAAAAGCAGTTCTAAGAGGGAAGTTTATAGCAATACAATCCTACCTCAGTTAACAAGAAACATCTCAAATAAACAACCTACCCTTACACCTAAAACAATTAGAGAAAGGAGAACAAAAATACCCCAAAGTTATCAGAAGGAAAGAAATCATAAAGATCCGACCAGAAGTAAATGGAAAAGAAATGAAGGAAACAATAGCAAAATCAATAAAACTAAAAGCTGGTTCTTTGAGAAGATAAACAAAATTGATAAACCATTAACCAGACTCATCAAGAAAAAAAGGGAGTAGACTCAAATCAATAGAATTGAAATGATAAAGGATAAGTAACAACTGACACTGCAGAAATACAAAGGATAATGAGAGATTACTACAAGCAACTATATGCCAATAAAATGGACATCCTGGAAGAAATGGACAAATTCCTTGAAAAGCACAGCCTTCTAAGACTGAACCAGGAAGAAATAGGATATGTAAACAGACCAATCATAAGCACTGAAATTGAGACTGTGATTAAAAATCTTCCAACAACAATAGTCCAGAACGAGATGGCTTCACAGGCGAATTCTATCAAATATTTAGAGAAGAACTAACACCTATCCTTCTCAAACTCTTCCAAAATTTAGCAGAGGGAGGAACACTCAGAAACTCATTCTATGAGACCACCATCACCCTGATACCACAACCAGAAAAGGATGTCACAAAGAAAGAAAACTACAGGCCAATATCACTGATAAACATAGATGCAAAAATCCTCAAAAAAATACTTGCAAACAGAATCCAACAGCACATTAAAAGGATCATACACCATGATCAAGTGTGGTTTATCCTAGGAATTCAAAGATTCTTCAACATATGCAAATCAATCAATGTGATACACCATGGTAACAAACTGGCAGATTAAAACCATATGATCATCTCAAAAGATGCAGAAAAACCTTTTGACAAAATAAATACCCATTTATGATAAAAACGCTCCAGAAAGTAGACATAGAGAGAATTTACCTCAACATAATAAAGGCCATATATGACAAACCGACATCCAGCATCATTCTCAATGGTGAAAAACCGAAACCGTTTCCACTAAGATCAGGAACAAGACAAGGTTATCCACTCTCACCACTATTATTCAACATAGTTTTGGAAGTCTTAACCATAGCAATCAGAGAAGAAAAAGAAATAAAAAGAATCCAAATCAGAAAAGAAGAAGTAAAGCCGTCACTGTTTGCAGATGACAAGATACTATACGTAGAGAATCCTACAGATGCTCAGAAAACTACTAGAGCTAATCAACGAATTTGATAAAGTAGCAGGATACAAAATTAATGCACAGAAATCACTTGCATTCCTATACACTAATGATGAAAACTCTGAAAGAGAAATTAAGGAAACACTCCCATTTACCACTGCAACTAAAAGAATAAAATACCTAGGAATAAATCTACCTAAAGAGACAATAGACCTGTATGCAGAAAACTGTAAGACACTGATAAAAGAAATTAAGGATGATACAAACAGATGGACAGATATACCATGTTCTTGGATTGGAAGAATCAGCATTGTGAAAATGACTATACTACTCAAAACAGTCTACAGAGTCAGTGCAATCCCTATCAAACTACCAATGGCATCTTTCACAGAACTAGAACACAAAATTTCACAATTTGTATGGAAACACAAAGGACCCTGAAAAGCCAAAGCAATCTTGAGAAAGAAAAACCGAGCTGAAGGAATCAGGCTCCTTGACTTCAGACTATACTACAAAGCTACAGTAATCAAGACAGTATGATACTGTCACAAGAACTGAAATATAGATCAATGGAACAGGATGGAAAGCCCAGAGATAAACCCACACACATATGGTCACCTTATATTTGATAAAGGAGGCAAGAATATACAATGGAGAAAAGACAGCCTCTTCAATAAGTGGTGCTGGGAAAACTAGACAGCTACATGTAAAAGAACGAAATTAGAACACTCCCTAACACCCTACACAAAAATAAGCTCAAAGTGGATAAAAGACCTGTATGTAAGGCCAGACACTATAAAACTCTTAGAGGAAAACATAGGCGGAACACTCTATGACATAAATCACAGCAAGATCATTTTTGACCTACCTCCTAGAGAAATGGAAATGAAAACAAAATAAACAAATGGGACCTAATGAAAGTTAAAAAAGTTTTGCACGGTGAAGGAAACCATAAACAGACGAAAAGGCAACCCTCAGAACGGGAGAAAATATTTGCAAATGAAGCAA